ATCCTGCTTGGTTTCAATAATGGCTACATATGGTTGGAATAAAGAGTGATACAAAGAAGAAAAACAGGGTTTTCAAGAGTGTGAGCATTATTCAAACTCTTAAAATGGGTGGTATGTAATGTACACTAATGTACACAATAGTGTTAATCACTTTTTACCTTATAAAAATGATTATTTTATAATATATAAATATTCCATTAAAATAAGAAAAAAATAGCAAGAATTAGAATGGAGAATTTGGCTGTGTCATCAATGGCATAGTTTCAAACAGGTCCAAAAAATTTGTTTTTAAAAATTGGACAGATGAAGAATCCCATTAGTTCTTGACTATTCATTTCTGAAACACTATATTTATCACTTAAGCACATTTAATGTTTTGAACTTAGAAGGTATTACAAAGGAAAAGTTTTCCTATATTTATTTGGAAAACTGGTTCAGTTAAAGAAAAACTCTTTTTTGAAAGATAACATTTCACAATTGAGAAAACATATATTACAACCACCTTCAATTAATCTAGGTTATAGATTACATAGTCATTTTGCCTCTCATTATATCCCATAGTGTTGCTATTTTCTTATTTCATCGTTCTGTATAACTGTTCCCAGGAAGATGTGGAAAAGAAGTCAAGGAAGGTAAAATCCAGAATTTATTTTTTAATTCAGATTTTAAAATTAATAATGAATTTATCATTAGTGCCTAATTCCAAACCAGAACATGATTTAGACTATTTTCTTATCTGGAAAGAGAAAAAAGAAAACTTTATTCCTGGACTATTGCCAGATTTCTATTTGTAACTACATAACACTTGCAATGATGTCTATGCCACTGCAGTTTTGAAAATTATTCCCACAGATGTTGATTCCTGCTTTTACAGACATTTAAACCAAACTATGTCTTCCTAATTTGCATATGCTGTCAACAAGCTACGCTCTGGTGTAATCCCTGCCAGAGCTTTCCCTCCTGTAAATGGAACAATCAGGATGGGGTTTTATTTCAAGTGACTGTGTAACCCAAGAGCTTAACTAATTACACTACAGTTTAAAATAAATCTTTGGTGCACTATCTTAAAGAATTAATATAGTATGAAGAAAAATCACTTTAAGGAAGATGGCTTCATTTCATTCTATAAGTCTCAGAAATCTGATGTACAATAAACTGACCAACAAACCATTATAGAGAACAAGCAGGAATGACATTCAAAGCAAGCATTTCCACAGCCTCATCAAAAATGTGCTGAAATGGCAACAGTGAATATGTATTAGAAATTTAATTTAGTCTCCTAAGTGACCTTGATCATTTGATTAGGCTGTATCTAAGATAGTGTTTTCAAGTGTATTTATAAATGCCTAAGGCAAGAAATGGAAAAAAATATCCTTCAAACAGTTACCCTGAAGATTTCTTGGATTAGGAAAGAAAATGAAAAAGACCAGTTTGGCTCATTAATAATTCAACATCTTTCTGATTTTAAAATCCCCTTCAGTCAAAATCTTGACTTTCTTTTTTTCAGAAAATTCTTATTAGTGAGATCTCTAAGGCATTAGTGAAATGTTTTTAGACTGTTTCTTTTATTTGTGTTAAAGTTATGCCCTTCCATTATGCCCCTCCTAATTTGTCTAGAAAATCCAGATTGCCTGGCACCTGCATGTCATAGGTCCTTCTGTTATGGGTGTTTTTCTCACTTGCTGCTACATTGCTGTTTTTCTGATGTACATTAAGTGGCTCAGATAAAAACCACATGTATATAACCTGTAGAGAAATTGTGTAGTTTCAAAATAAATTTTTCTGTTAGTAAAACTGTCACATAAAATATTTTAAATAAATTTTTAGTTCCCTAAACTTCTAAGAAGGATAAGCCCCTATATTAAAACCATCTCACAATACCACAGATTTTGTTAGATTGAAAATCATGAGTACATCTCTTTCATTTATACTCTGACTGTCTGAACATGAGTGTTATCCTACATATAATTCATATCACGTAATATAGTTATTCAAATATTTGAATAGTCAGGTGTTCGTGTATATTGCACATATGTCCTTACAAACAGTTGGAAAAAGTCCTTTCATTCAGCAATTATTTTTTGAGCACTTATGTGCCAGAAATGGTGCTATGCATTAATTATTCTTTAATGAACAGAAAACAATCTCTGCCTATCTACTGGTATTTCACAGACAAATAAGCAACTATGGTAAGGGTAATTGTTATTAAATGGACAAATATAGGGTGTTATGTGAACATAGGTGGAAATTTAATCCACTCTTCAGGGGTAAGCATAGACCTCTCAGAAAATGCAATATCTACATTGAGTTCTGCAGAGTAATTGGAATCAGATCCAGAAGTATTATGTGGATTTAGGATTGTGCGCAGGGTGAGTTTATCATGGGTATAGACTTCAGAAAAGAAAGAACATTTATGTTTAGGAATGCTGAAGTGATAAGAGATTATTTTGCATATGAGGAACTTCCTAACATTGCATAATATACAATTTATTTTTGTCTAAACACACAAGCCTAAAATGATATATAGTGCATTGCCAAATTCAGTAATTAAACAAGTATGTAGTTCAATATATAGTAAGGGAGGACACTAAGGAGGTGGCTTTTAACCTGAAGCTCATACAAGCAGCTATAAATCTCACACAAGGAAATTCATCTAAAACTTGTTGGTAATTCTCTTCTCTTCCATCTTGTGCTGTGATACCTTGCTTGATTATACCTCCCCTCCCAGATCACAAGCCTTCTGAGGGTACAATCTGTATTTACATATTTTTTGCTGGTCTGCCTGTCAAGTCCAGTGTAGTATATACAGCATAGGGATAAATTTGAATAAGGGAGTGATTGCATATGGGCAAGTATTTTTGACATGTGTATAAATTAGATATTTTATATTTTTAAAGAAAGAAAAGCTATTGTGAAATATATTTTCCAATGAAGCTGCCATTTTTGCTTTAATTTCCAAAAGTTTCAGTAATTGGTATATAAGCTAGTCTTTCAATTTATTTATTTTTTTTACTTTTTTATCAATTCTAAGTTCCACCTAATTCCAAAGGAGAAAGCAAACATCAGTAGCATGTCAGTGATAACCTTTTCTAATTCAGTTTCCCTCCACATTGGACATTATAATCTCTTTTACAGATATCCATTTCAGTGCAATCCTCAGACAAATCCAGACTCACAGCAGTGGCAGTTTCCGGTTTGTTTTCCTGAGCCAACTGGTCCTCCATCTGTGTTTATTTTAAGGCATAGAGCTTATATCTGAGAGGAAGTAATCTAAATCTTTTGAAATGCTCTCTTTATCTGTAAGCACTCAGGTGTATATACAAATGAAAAACCACAAATAATCACATATATCACAAAGTGACACATAAATTGACAGTTCTGTAAAAATTGGTATTTAAATAACCTTCAAATGGGTATCTTGATGATTCCATAATATTTCTAGATCAGTATACATTGTTGAACTACCTGAAGAGCTGCTATTTTTTTTTCTTGTAAATACTTGATTATGCAAAATGAAAGCTACAATTTCTTTAGATGGAAGGTAGTTGGCCCTTTTAAAGAAACCCTAAGATGTTTTGAAATATTTTAATATTAGAATTTTCAAATCTAAAAGCTTTCAGGAAAAAAAAAGTCCTCTGACTTCAGAAACGTTTATAGAAAAATCCCATGTGCACACAGCCATAGCTAGGGAATTTTCTGCCTGTTACACATAGTGTACAAAAATGTAGCAGAAAAAATATGGAAGAGTTTGTGAATCATAAACATAAATTAATTACATTAGGGAAAATTACACTTCCAAAATTGAGTATTGTTATAGTTTTTTTCCTTTAGGACTTGCTTATTTCTGTTCTAAATGTTATATTCTTTCTTTCAGATCAATTTCCAAAAGTTTTTTTTTAATTTTCTGTAACATAACTTAGTGCATAGTAGAGGTATTACCTAAGTAAAATTTGGATATGACACCCTCCCCTCCAAAAAATTCTAGATACATTACAGAGGTGGATGTTTTTAAGGTTAGAATATTTTCAAGGGCTTTTATTTCAATATTCTTGATAACACAAATAACTACAATTTTAAGTTGCCTAGAGTTTCCTACATTTTACAATCCGTATGAAGCCAAATATTTTTCTCATAATCGTTTATTCATTCCTTCAACAAATATTTTCTAGCACTTACTATGTGTCAGACACTCATTTGGGCACTTGAGATACATCAGTAAACAAAATAGAAAACTTTACCACCCACATGTAGCTACACCTCTGGCAACTACAAAGATAAATACAAATGGTAAGTAAATTATGCAGTGAGTTAGAAAATGCCATAGAAAAAACTAAAGCAGAGAGTCTGTCCAATGGGATGAAGGAAAGGAACCTCCCTACAGGCTTATAAAGGCCCAAGGGGCCAGATTCTGACTCCAGTAGTGAACAGAGATGGTGGGCTGTGTTGTGTGCTCTGACCTGGATCAAGGAAGACCTTCTGCTCTGCGAGGAAGGGAGGGGCCCAGAGTCCTGGTGAGGGGAGTCGAGGGCACCCACAGGACTTGAAGACACAGAGCAGCTCCCTCATCACAGAGCCAAGACTGAGAAATGTGGTCAGGAACCTGGTGAGCTGTGCCATAGAGTTGCCCACATCTGGATTTTGCTGATTGTGTCCCTGTGCTGTTGATTTTCATCACTACCTGGAGCTGTCACTCTCTATGAAGAAGAGGACTACCTAGGAAGCTGTGATTTGGGGCCATTGAGTAAAAGGGACAAAAGTGCCAAAGGAAGCAGAGACAGACTGGGGCTCTCAGTCCTCCTGGCGGCTGCTGTAGAGTTGAAGGGAAGGGGTAGAATTAGGCCTGAGTGGCCACAGCTCCCTGCAGATCCTGGCAAACCTAATTGTAGCCTTGAAAGAACAGAGAGAAGGCTGAAGAGTCAGAAGCTTCTCACTTATTCCTGCCCGTGGAGAGCCAGGTCTCTCTGAAGAGGGTCTCCTCATACAGAAACCCTCCGTGAACAATGGCCCTGGTGTCCTCCCTGGCACAGCTCCAAGCAGAGGTCAGCTGCCCCATCTGCCTGGATTACCTGAGAGGCGCAGTGACCACTGAGAGTGGACACAACTTCTGCCACTCCCACATCCAGCAGTGCTGGGAGGATCTCCAGGACACCTTCCCCTGTCCTGTCTGCCTCCAGCCCTGCCCCGAGAAGAGCTTTAGGAGGAACAGCCAGTCATGTCTCATGACTGATGTGAAGAATCTTCCCAGCACAGAGGACATGAGGAAATGGCAGAAAGAGAAACCTCTGTGTGAGAAGCACAAGCAGGTTCTGAGCCTGTTCTGTGAGAAGGACCTGGAGCTGCTGTGTCCCCAGTGCAGGGTCTCCTCGGAATACCATGATCACCCCCTGGCACACATGGAGCCAGCTGCCCCTCTCACAGGAGGAAGCTCAAAAGCTACATTGAGCCCCTGAAAAAGCAGCTGCAAGATGCTGAAAAGGTGTTAGAAATGCAAGTCTCAAAATCATTTGAGTTGGTGTGGAAGGTGGAGAATCAAAGGAACGACTTGCACTCCAAAGTTGAACACTTTAAGCGTTTCTGGGGGATGGAACATGATGAAATTCATGTTAAGTTCCTCAATGAAGAGAATGATGTTCAAGATAAAATAATTGAAAAAAGAACTCAAATATCAGACAAAGGATACACATTACAAAGTCTGCTTGATGAAATAACCAAGAAGTGTTTGCAGAGTGACCTCGATTTGCTGACAGGCATTGAAAGGATCCACAGCATGTATGGAAAGTTAGAGAACTCAGCAGCCTTTTCCTACAAACTAAAGAAGGAGGTTTTCACTCTCCCCCAACAATATGTTGCCCTTCACAAAAAGGTTGAAACTGTTCACCACAGTCTCATCATTTCACAAGACAGGAAAATTGCAACTTTTCAAAGGATGGAACCACACTGTGTTCATAATCCTGAGGCATTTACTTCTCACCCATCCCCAGTTCTGAGGGATTTGATGCTGGCAGGCATTTTTGGCAGGTAGAAGGAAGAGGAATGGGTGAATGGCCCTTTGGTGTGTATAAAGAATCTTTCCCCAGAAATGCTTCTATATCACCATCCCCAAGCAATAGCTGCTGGTGAATTCAACTCTCACCTACTATACCTGGCACTGGGGATTCAGGAAACCCATGTCAGATTGGTGTTTTTCTGCACTATGAGTTGGGAGAAATTTCTTTTTACAGTTTGAATAATAGATCTCCTTTATATTTATTCAGTGAAATTTTTACAGAAAAACTTGTACCCTATTTCTCTATTGGAGTTTCTTCCAAATCACTTACAATAAGTCTAGTTGAAGATGAGTACTGAGCCCCCTTGGAAGATGTTCTTTGTGTTCTGCTTTCTTCCTGTGTTCAGGAAAAGTCCTTGTAATAAAGAGTCTGAGTCCATCTTTGAGATCTTACTGCTGAATCTTTTTAATCTTCCCCCTCTGTCTTCACCTCTGCCCTACACCTGGACAAACTATCAGGACAGTTTGGATGTCCCTTGACTGGTCTTATGAGGGCAGTTCTAACCCAGAAAGGCCCTACCTGTAAAGGAGCTCTCCCCAAACACCAAAACCTCCAAACTAGTGGCTTTTTGCCCCTCTCTCAAGCCATTTTTTGGACCGGTGGGAACCCTGACTCCACAAGAAGTCTCAGTGAGTGAAAATAAATGATTTCATACCACCCCCCCCCCAAAAAAAAGAAAAAAAAACTAAAGCAGAGAAAGAGCATAAGAGATTAGGGAAGGAGGTTAAATTTTAAATATGGTAATCACAGAAGGCACAACTGAGAAGGCTTTTGAAAATAACTTTGAGGGAAGTGATAGAATGAGTCCCAGAGAAACAATAGAGTTGAAGAAGAATTGTGAAGAAACAGAATAAAGGTGAGTGTGGCTAAATAGAGGGGACTTGGTAGATTTTAATGAAAACAGAATACAGTAAGACAAGGGTGAGAGCAAGGAGGCCAGGTAGGAGGCTATCAAAATTATCCAAGTGAGAAATTATGTTGGTTTAAGCCAGAGGGAAGGCAGTGACAGTGGGGAGAACTAATTAAATTCCACATATATTTTGAAAATGTAGCCAGCATATTTATTGACATTAAAAATAGAGTATGAGAGAATGAGAAACATCAAAGATCAGCCTAAGATTTTGTCCCAAGTAACTGGGAAGACAGAATTGCCTAAATTAAATTAGGGAAGGTTAGAAAAGAAAGCAAATTTGGGGGAAAAGATCAGATCTTCAATTAATATGTTCCCCATTAAGTATTCACACATATATTTAGGTATGTAGATGACTAGATCAATTGGAAGATAAGAAGGAAGTCCAAGGCTTCAAATTAAAATGTAAGCATTTTCAGCAAGGATGAGATGAGCAGAATTCTCCAAGGAAGTAGGACGGATGGAGAAGAGATGTCCGCGTATTAAGCCCAGCAGCCCACCCATGTTGGGAGATGGGGATACTTTTTTTCTTTAGTAGAGGTTTTGTTGTGAAGGAATGGGGTAGATGCTATTCAGAAATGTGAGTCAAAGGCTTTTGTTTGTTTGTTTGTATTCTTTTTTATAAAACTTTTGAGTAGCAGAAATATTGTCTTCTTCCATTCTTATGGAAATGGTCCAATAAAGAGGGAAAAGTGATGATCTAGGAAAATAAGGTGAAAATCACTAGGTGGATTGACTTTGAATAAACAAGAAGGCATCTGGTGCACAAGGGGAGAGCCTGGCCTTTAACAGCTACAAGGACAGTTCATCTTTGCTGACAGAGGTGAATATAGGAGGATACGAATGCTGGTAGGTGAGTTGATATAGTGAATGGGATTATAGAGATTTTCTTCAGACTGCTTTTTTTTTTTAAGGTGAATTTCATATAACAGATAATTAACCATTTTAAAATGAGACATCCAGTGGCATTTCGTGCATTCATAATTTTGCGCAAATACCATTACTCTGAAAGGAAACTCCAACCTCATTAAGCAGTTGCTTCCCATACCCCACTCCCCTCAGCCTCTGGAACCTAACAATCTGTGTTCTGTCCCTATGTATGTCTATTCTGTATACTTCATATAAACGGATTTATACAATATGTAACCATCGGTTTCTGGCTTCTTTCACTTAGCATAATGTTTTTCAGGGTCATCCATGTTGTAGCATAGATCAGTACTTTGTTCTTTTTTATTGATGAATGATATTTGGTTATATATATGCCTCAATTTGTTTATCTATTCATCCATTGGTGGATGTTTGCACTGTGTCTACACTTTGTCTATTTTTAATAGTGCTGCTATGAACATGGGTGTACATGCATCTGTTTGAATACTTGTTTTCAATTCTTTTTATTATATATGGAATAGAAATTCTGGGTCATATGTTAATTTCATATTTAAATTTTAAAGAACCAAAAATTGTTTTCCACAGGAGATGAGCCATGTTACATCCTTACCAGAGATGTATGGGAGAGTTCTAATTTTTCCACATCCTTGCGAATATTTGTTATTGTCTATTTTCTTCATTATAGCCATATTCATGGGTGTGAAGTAGTGCTTCATTGTGGTTTTGATTTACATTTTCCTAATGACTAATGATATTGAGTATCTTTTGATATGCCTGTTGGCCATTTATATATCTTCTTAGGAAAAATGTGTATTCAAGTTCTTTGCCCATTTTTTAATTGAGTTGCTTATCTTTCTGTTTTTGAGTTGTAAGAGTTCTTTTCATATTATGAATGCTAGATCCTTATCAGATATATGAATCACAAATATTTTCCCCCATTGTGTAGGTTGTCTTTTCACTTTCTTATTAATGGCCTTTGATACACAAAAGTTTTTAGTCTTTGTGAAAGCCAATTCACTTATTTTTTTCTTTTATTGCTCATGCTTTTGGTATCATTTCTAGAAACTCACTGCCAAATTCAAGGTTATGACAATTTGTGACTGTGAAGAAGAGGAGGAAGCTTTGCTGTCTACATCTTTACCTTAGCCTTCTCTTTCTACTTACACAGAGCCTAGAGATCAGCCAGAGGTGAAAGCTTAGGGTATTCTTAGATCTTTTCTGTGTATGTATTCAGTTCTGGGCATATGTGTGGCTTTCTAAATTCCTCAGTATATGCTATTCATGGCTACTTTGGAATGCCCTTATTTCCCAAACTCTCTCTCAAGCCTTTCCTCCCAGGCTTTCAGTGCTCTGTTGTATGCCTCAATCACAATCCTTTGTCCCTGGTTACTGGGTGTTTTTTGTCCACCTTACAACATTTTCAAGGAATGTCTTTTGCATTTCTTGCATGGATGTGTTCTGACTTAGGTGAAACAAAGACCACAGACAGTATAGAACAGACATAAAAAAAATATCTACTCTTCCCCCTCCAGAGCAAGGACCAGAGCCCAACACTGAACATAGGCTACCCTCCTCAAGACCACCACTGATATTGGGAGGGGGTGGAGATATTGGGAGGGGGTGGAGAAAAGGCATGTAAAAATGTCACAAAAGTTTCCTTCCATTTCAAAGTTGCCTTTTTCTTCATTCAACATATGCTTGATTTTTTGCCATTTCTGTTAAGGGATGAGCCCATGGAGCTGCCAACTCTGCCATTTTCCCAACCATTCATCTGCTTCTATTTTTTTTTTAGTTAGACAAGAGTAATGTCATCAGCTGAAAAAAAAGATGTGAGATGAAGTTTTGGAGGTTTGGGACCAGGTATAAAGTGTGAAATGGAATCTTGAATACTGAGAGAGTTAGTATAATGGAAAACCTTGTGCTTGTCTGAAATTAGAGCCCTGTTAGGTTCACTATTACATGTTTAGAGTGAAACCAGTTAGCATAATAGCATAGTGTTCTTTAGTTACACATATCGTGCATACTATAGACAGAGAGATAGATATGAACTAGGATTTGGGTTTTGATAAAAAGTGAGAGACAAGGAATTTGAAGTTACATACAAAGAGGTAGCTGTAATGAAAGATTAATCATTGAGTTTAAGTTGGGTAAGGAAGAAAGTGAATACGTGAGTGGCCAAAGAGAGTGAAAATGTTGAGGATCAGTGAATTTTACATTCCAGTTGAGTCATAGGATTGTTGGATTCAGGCTTTAAGAGAGAAAAACTTGGGAATACTGGAATGTAATTGGAAAGTGTGATATCTGAAACAGAGATTACAAAGTTGAGGGCACCATCCCTTGTTATTTGAGCAGTAGGTCAGAGCCTCCAAACTGTGTATACACACTATTTCAACTTCATCGTGTATCACAGGGGTCCCCAATCCCCCGAGCCATGGACTGCTACCGGTCCACGGCCTGTTAGGAACCAGGCCACACAGCAGGAGGTGAGTGGCGGGCGAGCAAGTGAAGCTTCATCTGCCGCTCCCCATCGCTCGCATTACCACCTGAACCATCCCCCAACCCGTCCGTGGAAAAATTGTCTTCCACAAAACCGGTCCCTGGTGCC